TTCAACATTAGGAGGTTAACATGTCACTGTCAGTACATATGTGGTTCATGCTAAATGTCAAACTGTAAATACAGTTTACAATAGTTGTCTATTCTTGACAGACTACGGGTAGTGTGTTTTCCAATTTTCTCATGTTTGGTTGAGTTAAAAGTTTTGGAAAATATTTTCCATATCAACTCATTTTCTCAAATTTAAGGAAAATGACTTTCCTTCCAAAATTAAGGAAAATATTTTCCAAAACTCTATTCCAACTTCATATTACAATTTTCCCATCACTCCCCACCCCACCAAAAAAAAAATAAATTAAAAAGTATTTTCAATTTCAAAAATTAGTTTCTACTCTCTAGTAAAAATAAAAGATATTTTCTCAAAACATTTTTCATTCATAAATGAAACTAAAATATCTTTTCTAAAAAATAAGTCAAAAATCTATTTGTTTTCCGGAAAAAGAAAAACATTTTCCTTCATACCAAACACACCCTACAACTCCATTTGAACATAATATTAGAGTAAAACAGAACAAGTGGGTTAAAAAATTAAGTTGAAAGCGATGAGATAGCGTAAAAGAAAGATTCAACCTATGGAAGAAATGTGGATAATAGTCTCAGGTGGGTGGTAGGATAAAGATACCACCTCATCAAGTAAAGGAAAAGATGCATACAATATATTATTTTAGCATACATAATACACATATATCTATTATAAAACACCAAAAATTGGAGGAAGACAAATATTAAGAGCCAACTGTTAAACTAGACTTTGGTAATCCTAACTCAGTTGTGACGTATCTTAGCAATTGTTGCACCAGCTCTCTAACTCTAGCTTCCCTGCAAATAAGGAATTACCACATATTAGATATCTATTTCTTAATCAAGAAAAAACAACAATAGAAATTTGGTATGAAATAACCACACAATAGCTCCTTTAACCAAAAGATGCCTATACAGAAGAATCTAGAGCTAAACCACATTCTCTTTTGTCGTTTCACCTGCTTGCTTACCTTGATATAACAAGTTCACACAAGGATGGGAAAAGAACAAGTAAATGTGAACGCCTTGCTTGATTCTCTTTTGTAAGGCATTCTTTTAAGGAAGGATGTAAAGGAAGTTGGGAAACAGTGTCTGAATGAACCACAAGAAGCTCAAGCTCTTTGAGGGTAAAGATAACTTTTTCCACACGTGCTGCTGGCAATGAATTTTCTCTTGACATAGTTGCATCATTTCAGAATAACAAAAAGAGAAGCATTTCAAATCTCACTTTCAACATAATTAATCACCCACATAATTTGCTCTCATCCATCAAGTACCTTTCCAGAATAAATTCACATCTACTTATTAATATATTTTATTGATATGTTGCTTACTTCACATCTAGTTGAATTCCATTCACCGGTTCTTTGACTGAAACCAAGTGAAATGACAATCACCGCAAAAAATAAGAAAAAAGGAAAGATTACGGAGTACTATATATACCTGGACAGAAGAAACATCTTTTGCAAGTAGGTCAAGGAGAACCTGTTACAATGTGAAGGCATCAGTTCGACAGTCTCAAGCGGCAAGGAGCATGTTCGTGATGCACACCGATCTAGAGTGTTGATTAGACGTTCCAGAATTTACAATTAACATGATTATCAGCATTATACTTGATCTCAAAGTTTATTTCTTGAATGCAAAACCAAAATAACAGACATACATACAACTTCAAGTGGCTAGTAAGCAAATAGTCTGAGCTATAAAAATGGATAAACATCATATTTTATTTTCTGAAGCGACTAATCTGGGTTATTAATTCATAGTTGATTTCCATATTTATGCAGAAGGCCATAAATAATTCATATTATCTCAAATCTTACTGGTCGGAGCTTTGTCACCTGAAAAGCATATGCTCTTTTTCCGTAGCCTATTTTCGAGAACTCAGTATTGCAAAGGCAACTATTATTTGTTAAATTGCTTACACAAACAAGGGTCCTAAAGTTGGTGGTGGTTGGCTATTCGTTGGACTTGGTATTTTGAAAACCAAAGAGAAATAGGGGACACTTGGAGGAACTTTATTGGCTAATACCTAGTGGGCACACAATAGATTGAGAGAAACCCATGATAAATAGAGTAAAGATATGACACCTAGGCTTAACTCAACCTCAAAAGCTAGCTCATAACGGGAGGATTGTAAAGATATGGCACCTGGGCCTAACTCAACCCCAAAAGTTAGCTCATGAGGGGAGGATTGCCCAAGTCCATATAAGGAGACCACTGGTTCATTTCCCAATCAATGTGGGAATTTTACCCACTCTAACAAATAGCATTTAATTCTTTTTCAGAAAAGAGTGGACATGAAAGACATACACCTTTGGAACATCTTGCATACAAAAGTTCCAAAAATGGACTTGGTTCATTAACATGGGAAGGTACAAAGTGGCCCAAAATGAAGTTTTTTTCCCGAGAAAAGGGCATCTTTGTATTCACACCAAAAATTCATCATCCAAAAAATAATAAATTGGAAAGTTAAATCCCCCAGAGTGGTGGGCACACCCCAAAAGGGCATTCTTAACAATTTTCCTATAAAGTCAACTAAATCTACTATCTTCCCTACCAAATCTTGATGAAGGGTTTGTGAAAAATTACAAAATATGTGCAGTTGTAAAGTGAAAGAACTAGTGTCAATATCTAAAAAGATTTGGGTTAGACAGTTACTTCAAGAGGCGCATCAATCTGTGATTTGAGAATCTTGTCTCCTAGAATATCCAGGAGATTCATCTCGAGAGATTCATCAGCACTGTCCACCATCACTGAAAGTGCACGACCACAGTAGCCTATTAGAAATATCTCAAAAATGTCAGCAACTTCTTGCAGGTCTGGTAATAGTCAACTCATGCCCTACATTCCCAGTCAGTTTTCAAATATCATCAAGCAGAATGCAATTGAAACCTTCAACTTCTAGTCTCCAAAGTTAGCCATCAGGATTGTCTCTTCTTGTTATCATATATCTACGAAAGAAATACAAAACTTGGTTTATAAGAAGCTCCGAATTCATTAAGAATATTAATTTCCTTGAAAGATGAACAAAATCAATAAAAGGAGTATAAGTAAGCACTTCGAATTGTGATCCATAAAGAATTACTTATGTATCATTGACATTTGAGACCAAATAAAACAAAAAAAAAATACAATAGAAGCCTACAAAAAATTCTACAAGAGACGAGAAAGGATTACGTCTAAAGTAGATTATTTCTTATCTTTATCATAATCTAATGGCAGTCTTCCTTATTACCTTTCTTTGGAAAAACATTGATGAACCCTAGACCTTACTTGATCCACTACCTATAATCCTCTTGAGTTGTGGTTTAGTGAATAGCCAACTTAGGCTTTTGTGTGGTGAAAATGGAAGAGGAGAAGTCAAGAAGTGCAAGAAAAGTCTCCCTCAACCCATGGTGTTGCGACAAAATGGAAACCCCCCATATAAAAAAAGAAAAAAAGAAACGAAAAGAAAAGAATGAAAAAGAAAAGTTGTGGAATAAAAGTACAAAATAAATTGGGTTTCCAAGCAATCCATGGAGATGAATAAAAAGATGACGTAGAAGCACTAGAAAAATAATTGATAAAGGAAAAGAAGGAGATGCCACATTTCATGAAGATGAAAGTCACTGAGCCTAAACGACCCTACCTTTGCACTCAGCCCATTACAAGCCTTAGAAAGACCTTTTTTATCTTGAGTAAGCCGAACCGAAAATCGATTGGAAAATAAGGGCAAACCTATGGGTGAAAATATGCATTGTGTTTCTCTCTTTGAGTGTGAGCGTTGCATCTGATTCATGTTCTTGAATTGATTAATCTATGTGTGTGAATATAAAAATCATTATTTATGTGAGGGCATTTAGATACTTTTTGTTGAGCTTGAACTTGCACAAGTAGCAAGTATTGCGAGCATGAGAATCCTTGATAATGGTGTGTCACAACTTGAATCTTTTAGTACACATTTGACCTGTGCATAAGTAATTTGAGCCTTGTTGTGTGTGTTAATGAGTTAGTCTTGTGTAACTCTATTTGAGACATCATATTTGAACTGCTGAACTTGAGTTTGCTTGAGGACAAGCAAAAGTTTAAATTGGGGTGTTGATGCACAAATTGGACTCATTTAGGGCTTTATTTTAATAGAAATAGTGTTCTCAAATGCTTGTTTTATCTCAATATCTGATGAAAATGCTTAAATTTCAGGTATTTGAAGTTTTAGTGGAAAAATGGACACTTAGGCGCAAAATTGAACAAAAGGGTTGAAAAGAACGAAGAAACGAAGGCCTGAGGATCGCCGAGTCTACTTGGCGAATCGCCTAAGGGATGTACTGCGCCATTTGTTCCAGTATGCGAAGCCCTGAAGGAAGTGGATCAAAAGGCGATAAAAGGAGCAGTCGGCGAGTCGCTGATTAGTTCCGCGAAGCAGTACTGTACCACCCAATGATCCAGAATGCGAGGATGTTGAAGGCAAGACACTGAAGGCGATAAGCTGACCAAAGGGCGAATCGCCGAGTTCATCGGCGATCCCGACTAACGTCGCCGAACAATCCTCCGTAGCACAATCTGTGAAAACTATAAATACTAGTTAGAGATTTAGTTTTAGGGTGGGACATTTTAGAGTAAAATTATTATTATTCTATATACTTCTCATATTTTTCTCTCAAGTTTGGAGAGGGTTTTGTGGAGACTTGAAGAAAGGAGTTCATCTTCCCCAAATCGGAAGTGGGTCTTCTCTATTCTTCTTCATTTGCTTAATTCAAGGTTTAATTTCTTATACCCAGTTTGATTCCATTATCATGTTAGGTATAATTTCTTATTTCTTGATGTGTGGCTAAAAACCCCCCATTCTTGGGGTGTGATTTAGAAAATATGTGTTGATATTATTGTTGGGTCTTGCTTGCTGATAGGCTAGATGTATTTTTAATGGTAATTTCACCTAGTGGTTATGGTTTAATTTAATGGGTTTGTAGTTGCAAATACAAAACCACCCATGTATTTTCGGCTTTTCTGAGAGGGAGGTTGCGAAACCAAGACCACTAGACTGATGGCCTAAGGATAAACTAATGGTTGTTATAACCTATACCGGCAAATGTACTTTAGTTGGCAATGTTGGGGTCGGCAAAGGCTTTACCAGCCATTCTGGGAAATGCTGGTAAAGGGCATTATCAATTGCCGCTAAAAATCATTAGTTATAACAACAATTGTTTGCGGCAATAATTTTGGCTGCTAAATCTATTTTATATCAACTAACTATGGTGTTTTAGTGTCCTTTTTTATAGATGATAGATTCAAATAAAATTGCCGCTACAAGCTAGTAGTTTTAATGGCAATTTTTTTGTTGAAATCAATGGCTACAATATCCCTTATGAAAACTTCTTAATGTCCCCCCGGCCTTTAGCATCCATTTTTATGACTGATAATTTTAATTAAATTGATGATAAATAACATAAATTTTAACGGCAATTGCTTAGCCACCATTATAATAACTAATATTTATCTAGAAATCCAACAATATTGTTGGTAAAAGAAAATCTCTTAGTAACAACAAAGATTTGCAAATGAAAAAGACATTACTATTAATTCATGAAATAAAATATATGTCACTATATCTGAACAAACAAAAGGAATTACTATTCCAAAATATTAATGTTACAACTTTAAAATAAACGTATATTGTATGCACTAGTGTAACCAATTCTATCGAATGATGTCGTCAAATAATTTGTGCAGTTTTGCTTCATATTAAATCATCCACGAAGTTTTTGAACTTCAGATTGTATGACCTGAAATAATAAAATAAATGTGTCAAAAGATGAAATGTAATGTATAAAAAATTGCGAGTAGTGTGGACAATCTAATAATAACAAGCAAGAAGCATCTGGCAACAAGAAAATTTTCTTTTTTCATATAGTCTCACAACTACGTTATCTTAATCCTAGGCAAAAGGCTGGGAATGGAAAAGGACGTGGAGGAAGAAAATGCTACAGTTGAAATTCATAATAATGTGCTACTTTGATCATTGCATGGATGTCAAATTGGGGCAGCAAATACCTCAAAATAAAGGTGTTACAAATAAGCAACCTGGTAAGACATTGTCAGTTATAGCTCACGTTGAAGAATCTTTTGGTGATCAGGTTCACGACGTAGTTGCATCACAAGTCACTTCAGATCATTTTAACTTGCAAATCTGTCTAGCAATCTGTCCAAAGGAATTGAACTCACAAATCTGTCAAGAAATCTGAAAAAACAACTTGCTAGTTCAATTGTTGGAAGGATTTGCCAAAACAGAGGCATGGAATTATGCTGAAAGAAGCCATGGTTACAGCTCTTGATCGAGCATTAGTCGATGTAACTGGCCAGCAACTAATTGCTGAAAATGCAGATGCTACAGTGAAGTTTAA